GGCTCCTTAATCTTATATATATAAACTTTTATTATCGTTTGCGTAATCTTTTTTTGTCACTAATAGTTGCCTTTTGTGAATTGTATCACAGGATCTGATAAGGTGACTCTTCGTTTGGATACCCGCGTTGGACTCTGGCAACGTTTACCCGATCCTGAATTCGCACATGCTTTTCTTCCAATCGTTCCAATTTCTGGCCAGATATATGCTGCTGGAGGAGGCGTAGTGCAATTAGAACGATTCGACCCGGCTTCTAACTCTTGGACTACTCTGGCTGCAATGAAAGAGGAGTAAGTTGTAATTATAGTGACACCTTTCGTATAATTTATATAGCATTTGTTTATGCCCTTTATCAGGATTTCGATTTGAATTATTTATATTGCCTCTTCCTTTGTGTTGTAATCTAAAGTTGGGACCCAAAACATAATGTGAGCATTAATCGTGCTTCCTGAATAATCGGTTAAATATAAACATTATTCTACTTTTTTCGTGAGTGAGTAGGTTTTATTCGATTGCTATAGCAAATATAAGTTTGTTTCATCGACAATCCCAACACAGAATTTGATATGGGAAATGTCTGCTATTCCCTGAAATTCAGATCTGTCTTGTGGCTCAAGGGCACTCGTGGTAATGTATCATAGTGGTCAACGCGTCGAGCTTAAACACCATACTGTCATGGTTCGACTCCCGCATGAGGTGTTGATAAGACGTATGCGAGGTCGAAACTGCAGTCGACCATAGATAAGAACACCTTTTGGGAAAGCAAGGCTATGTGAAATTCAATGAAAACGTCAGCTCTACTCGTATCATTTTGAGGGAATTCCGTTGTCAGTCCATCATCCTAAACGAAATTGGATTAACCCAACTCATATTACTCCACTTTTATTCACGCAGAATGCTTTCAACATACTTTATGGACAATTGAAATATAAGTTATTATAACCCATCTAAATATCTAGAAAGTATTTATCGATCATTTACTTGATCTACACATATAGTATCTGATAACATTGACATCTTCATCGTATCCATAACCCCTTTACCCCATTAGCCCTCCTGAGCTTGAAGCCAGTCCCTGTATCTTAAAAATTCCAGCCCATATAGAATATCTGAAAATGAATCCTTAGCATCGTTTGCCATATATGTTGGATTAAAAATCCTTACAAGCGAGTTGTTCAGAAAATACCCGTAATCAGGTGAATATCGAGTTCCATTCACTTCTGAGTTGTATCTATTCGAGCAATAATACCAAGAAAACGGGTTTAACTAATATTTTAGAAAATATTATTGTGAAGACTTACATTTCGTATGAAAGTGTAGGGCAGCTCTGATTATTGTAACTAAATTCGCACTCATTAATCAGACTTTTTAAGCTCATCAACCAAAACAGACGAAAGAGATTAAGCAATCTGTCACGCCTTTCCTTGGGTCATTACACTTTAATAACTCCAAGCTGGGAATGTTGATCAGTCTACCCTATTGTTACGCCGTCTTTCCCTAGGTCTTATCAGAGTCTTCTTTTTACCCCGTAGGATCCGTCTGATACCTCGCTGGTTCAAGTATTTCACTCGACTCCTGCCACCCAATTTGTGCTACTCGAAACGTTATTTCCC